CGATCAATGGAGACGGTATCACGCTTTCCGCTTCTCTCTAAAACAAAGTATTTGGAGTGACGTTCGATAACCTTGAAGGGGCCATCATAACAGGGTTGGTGGGGTTTCCGCGTTGCGTCATGTCGGACAAACACAAAAGATGTAGAAGAGAGATAAGATGAGACGTGTTCTGTTCGCGTTGATCATCTGGTCGGTGCCGCACGAAGTTCGGACATGTGTTGTTCCAGACGGGAGACGAATGTAACGGGTGGTTCGGGCTGTGCGCCAGAAGGGGAAACCGCGAAACCGAAATTTCAAGGTCAGGTGTCCTAGAAACGTTTTTTGATTATAACCCACCCATAGGTCGTTAACCATTTTTATACTAGGTAATTATTTTTTCACCAGGGCTCCCTAATTTTCTGCGGTCACATAGTTAAATAGGTCTCCCTTCTTCAGTAGGCTAAACAGGTCTCAGTCCCCAGGGCTTTTAAACTTCTACGCCAATATTCCTCAACTTACCTCGAAGTATTTCATTATGACACCGCTCCCGTCTTCCTCCTCTAAGCGGTTGCCAGACCCCGAATCCCCATCAAGTATCTCCACAGTATATCCAAAGAGGCGGCTCGCAGCCAGAAGACCCAGCTCCCAACCCCTACATCCATTGAGGCCGGCAAAAACTGTACCACAGACAACCACAGATTGTTCAGTAGTCCTAACTGATATATCTTCGCTTCCGCAACCTGACAGCTCTCTCCCCTCACAACTAGCAGTAGAATCTCAGGTCTTGAAACAACTGGAAAACCTCAGAATCCGTCTACATAATATGGAAAGTGAAAAGTCTTCCTTGCATGTCTTTTAACTCCTGATGCAATATGTGATCCTACGAAGTCAGAAAAAGCGTCCATTTTAATTGACACGATTGCGTCAGAGATTTGTCAACGCATCGAATGTCGACACCAGGTCCTAGTATTCAACGCACCTGATCGAACCCCGCTTGAGCACATCAGAACTGCCATCTTGACAGCATGTGGCATGCTGGATACCATGTGCACAGCTCGGAGGCTCCGAAAGTCAAAACCATCTATGTGTTGCCCCATAATAATGCAATTTCGGGATGAAGAGGATGCCGTGCGTCTTCTAACATCCCAGGCTCTACTCACTGCCACCAAAAAATTCCACGCCATAAAACTTAAAGCTGCCCGTACTCGA